TTTAAAGGTGATTTATCAAGGATAAAGGCAAAAAGTGCAAAGATACATCTTTTGATCTAGTAAAAAGTCTAACCTTGGATTCGGTTTAATTAATTTAGAGAAGACTAAACTCAAAATGATTATTTTGCAGAACTGATTTGCAAGGAATATCTATTTCAACTTTTGCTACTGCCACCCTTAAATCCAGTTACCCAGTTTTTTAAAGATTGCTTATTCAAGAATTTGTTGATTGCTTATTCAAGAATTTGTTTTAATTATGAATGAAGACCTAATGCTGAATAATACCTCGTCATGTATTCATCATGTTTTACTGGGTTGGTCCAAAAGTTACATCTTACAGAAAAACCTGAACTAACTTTTTGGCCAACCAAATGTATGTACTTGTGTTTATTTGCTAGCTCTTTAGTTTCTTTTCTATCTAGTATACATTGTGTAAAAATGTATAATATATTTTGCTTTGGAGTAAAATCAAGACTAAAAGTTTCTAATTTATTAGTGAAATATCAAAAGAATCTAAATTGTTTTAAATATACAAGGTCTTACTATTAGTACAGAATCTTTTTTACATTTTGATATTGGAAATAGAGTTGATGAATTCTTCCCTGATATGGCCATTAGTTTGTTTCTGGTTTTTAACAATAATAGAAGTTCCATTTTGGGTTTCTGTGTTCTATCTCTCTATTAGAATGTTTGTAGAGACCCTCTTTTAAGGTAATAAATGAGTCTTGAAATTAAAACTGATCTCTTTTTTCATATAATTCTTTGTTATAAAGTAGTTTCCATTGTTCAAACTGTAATTGAGGAAAAATATTGTTAGAGGTCAGCCATACATTCACTAACTGAATGTCTAGCAAATATATGCTTCTATTACGTGATGAGGCCTTAGAGTCCAAATCATGATCGCTGTTGGTGGAATTAGAACCAAATATTCTATCTGTCCTTTATAGAAAAGGATAATGTTTCATGCTCATCGTGGATATGGAATTATTTTGAATTTGCTTTTACAGTTATAATCCAAACTTTGGGTGTATTCCGTTATAGTCTTTTCATATTAATAAATTGCCAGTGACAAGATGGGTGGTTCTGAGTGTGACCAAATAAGTGACTTTTTTTTAGTAATACTCTAGAAAAACTTGTCTTTTTTTTAGTTTATTAGAATTCATTAGGGAATGAAGTATGGACTGTTTTTATAGGCCTGCCATGTGCTAGTCAGTATGCTGGTTACTTTATTTACTTTGGCCCTTTTAACAAGTAGGTGAAGCGAGTATTGTACCAGTTTTAGAGATGAGAAATTTAAGGCTCAGAATAAATGACTGATAGCTAATGAATCATATAGCAGTGTTTCAGGCCTAATGCTCTTAACTACAAATAGGGCCATGACTGAAATTTTCAGAGGTGTTTACCTTGTCTTTCCATGCATAAGTAATAAAGGCCTGGTTTCTTAAAAGATTATTCAGTTCAGTTCAGTCACCAGGCCTTCCTATCAATTACCACCTCCTGGAGTTTACTCAAACTCATGTCCATTGAGTCAGTGATGCCATCAAACCATCTCATCCTCTGTTGGCCCCTTCTCCCACCTTCAGTCTTTCCCAGCATCAGGGTCTTTTCTAGTGAGTCAGTTCTTCGCATCAAGTGGCCAAAGGATTGAAGTTTCAGCTTCAGCATCAGTCCTTCCAGTGAATATTCAGGACTGATTTCCTTTCGGATGGACTGGTTGGATCTCCTCGCAGTCCAAGGGACTCTCAAGAGTCTTCTCCAACACCACAGTTCAAAAGCATCAATTCTTCAGCGCTCAGCTTTCTATATAGTCCAACTCTCATATCCATACATGACTACTGGAAAGACCATAGCCTTGACTAGATGGACCTTTGTTAACAAAGTAATGTCTCTTCTTTTTAATATGC